CACTGTATATATTTATACTTTCCCATTTGTGCCGTGATGTGCCATTCCCCTGCCAATACTTTAGTCATTAATACATTTGATTATATACAAAGCAGTCTTTCTTCATGCAGAACACCATATCAGTTATACTGTAGTTCTTGGTCAGTCACTTTGCATAGTAGTTTTTCACTACAGCTTTTATATGAGCAAAACGTAAGTGTACCTCTGCCAAGGAGTTCCAATGAATAAGTGATGTAGTCTTTCAACTGTGCCATGAGATAGGCACATTTGAGAGCTGTAGTTAGTATAGATGTAAGAAGGGTCCACCACCGCTCAGTTCGATAGTCACACATGACATAGTCCAGCAACCTGTATAAAAAATTTTTTTTAAAAATACCACGTTGTCACTAACCCTTTTAGCATTACCAAACATGTTCAGGAGTTCCATAAATATGTGTATGACTATGTTGCAAATATCTACAAAAATGATACACCTCAGCCACTACTGACCGGCTAAGTGATGCAAGTCTTAAGTAGTGTAGAAGATATATTTGCAATAATTGTATCTGCCCCGTGACCTTAATTACTCTAGAAATAATTTTACTGGGTTTCAAAGAAAGGCAAAGTTAAACAATTTGGTGCTGGTTCTTAATGGACAAAATTAAGAAAAGAAGGTCCCCCCACCGACACGTATTTCCCAAGAACCACAGCAGCGTGCTAATGACAAGCATGCTTTGTTTTCATGGTAACATATATTATGTTATATTGCATGGCTGCATTCAAGGTACAATAAATAAAATAATAATAATAATAAACACCTCAAAAAACTGTTTTCCTTAAGGTTAACTAAACATAATATATTGTTGCAATGCATGTGAGTATCTAAGATTTCATTCATGTATCTACAGCAGCTATGGCTTTTCATGAATTACAGCTTTCTTGATTCTCATCCGGCATATGTTAAGGGACTTAAAAGCGAAGAGTTGCAAGTTGTCTACTCTATTCCTCCACCACGGCACACAGACCAACCAAAACATATACTACCTTTCTAATGAACCTACTTGAGTGCTTTATTGTAGTCCTTTGCGTAGTAATACTCCTCTCCCATCTGAACCACTGAAAATGACAATTGTAACCATTGAGTGAATGATTGTTAATAGGATCATGATGATTTTTACTTGTATTTAAATAATTTCCATTTTATTTTTAGTAGTGCTTTTTTTAATAGTGTTTAAATAAAACTAGCAACTAATTGCTATTATCCAGATTAAAAGGACACTATAGTCATCAGAACCACTGCAGCTTAATGTAGTGGTTCTACTGTCTATATAGCCTGTCCCTATACAGTATTAGCACTGTAAACATTACCTTTTCAGAGAAAATGCAGTGTTTACATTACTGGCTATTAACACCTCCAGTGGCAGTCACTCAGATGGCAAGTAGAAGTGTATCATAGTCCAGTGCTGCACAGTGTCCCGACGGCTATTAGACAGCCACTAGATGCTATCTTAGTGCTGCACTGTTAACACTGCAGTTTCTCTAATGTTTCACAATGTTTTGGTGCCATTGCATTATTATTATCGCTTCAGTACTTACTTAGGTGACTTTTCATTCTCGGACATTTGTACTTCTTAAACTGTGCAACAGCGCTACTCAGAAGGCTAATGATAATTTCCTGTGAAAGAAAAAGCACAAAAAGGCATGAGAGCACATTTGTACAGAACTGTGGTGACCAGAGGAACATCCCCAGCTTTTGTATGCCAACAAATTTAATGACACTTAGGCAGCCACAACACACTGCAGTTTTCCAATAGCTGAGGATCTACCATTTTTTCATCCCATGGTTGTCCTATCTCTGGCACTCAATGTGCAGTGGACTAGAGCTCCTGTCATGCATAGCTAACCCAGAGACATAGGCAACGATAAACTCTGACAGTTTCTCAGGGACTTACTGAGTGAATGACATCCCGCTCTTTCTGTTGCCAAGCAAGAATTCCTGCCTTCTCTTTCTCTGGATCTGTAAGATCGAAACCTGCATATGACAGGAAATAATTATCCATTACATGTGGGCACAGTATTTTGTTTAACCCAGATCCATACTATAAAAAGTACTCTGGTAATCAATGTCCTTATGAGCTTGGCATACACAAACAACTCAACAATGAGAGTAAGAATATTGCATGTGCAAAGATTCTAGAATTCTATTCGCCTGAGACAAGGATTTCACAGGAGAAGAAAACAAACAAACAAACAAACCCTAATTCAATTCAGTTTTCTCTGGATCAACTAAATTTGAGCGTTTAATGATTTATAGTGAAATTCCTTGTGGCAGATCCACACACTAAAGAGACATGGTGTGAGGGTTATTCACTAACGTGAGATTTCAAAGTGAATTTTACATTTAAGGCCAAAATAGCTGAATTGTAAACATTCTCTAAGAAAGCTATGCTTTCAGTTCAGCTACTTTGGCCTAAAATGTGAAATTCTCCTTGAATTCTCACTTTAGTGAATAACCCTGTATGAACTCATCATTGTCCACACTCAATGCGTTTTGCAATGAATTAAAAAGAAGAACAGCCCAGAATGTCCATATTTGTAGCAAATCTCCCGGATCTGCAGCTTCTGAAACAATGTCAGACCAGGAAATGGGCATGGTATCTCATCATCGGTAGATATGGTATGGTACTTAGATTCAGAACTAGAACTCTGTGAATTGGAACATGGGTGTGTAGCAGTGCAATACTGTAGATAAAAAAATAGGCAATTTGTTGCCTGGATTGTTTATATTAAGACTGTTGGGGTCAGTAGAATGACATGCAAGAATAGTGATCAGTTCTGAAAGGGCAGAGTTGAAATGAGCATTCCATGGTATCAAGAAAATATACTGAAAATTGCACATAAATGTGATATAGTATCATAAAGAGCTATAACCATTAATGAGATAAAGTACTTAAGTACATGCAAAGATCAGTGAAAATCAGTGACTTACTTAATATCCCTTGGCGCCAAGCCCTTTGTCCATAGAAATCAAGCACCCCATTAGGAGTCTCAAGAGGATCAGGAGTAGGATATGACACAGAAGACTAAAAGAAGGAAAAACAAGGAAGTCTGTTTATTGCAGCACCAAAGAACAAACCTCAATAACTAAGTAAGCTCAGAGCTTTGATTTGCAATTGGCCATGATCAAAGAATAAAATGTTCAACTTTCATATTTAAAGTCCAGTGAACAATTTGCTTTACATCTATTTTATTTTTCAAAACGCTTTTATGTCTCACTTGTGGGTTAGATGAGAGAACAAATGCAAAGTAAAGCAAGTTTTATATTAAGTGTTACTCCAAGTATTATAGCCACTAAAGCCCACTGAAGTGCATGTATTGGGGGATTCATGATATTAGGGCTAGGGGTCTTAGACACCTTTTATCTCTAAAGTATTGGGAAACTCACAGCCCATCATACAGAGTATAGAATTGAAGAAGTGTCTTTTTAATACCCCCTACTTACTTGGGGGATCCCATTAATTAATTCTGTGGATGAAGGACCACAATATTTGGCACTCATTTTGAGAGAGGGCAGTAGCAGAGCTCCTTCAGTTATTTGGGGTTACTCTATACTTTGTTTTAGATCACGTTTAGTTATTAAAATTCATTTGTTTTCATGTACATGAATGGAGTAAAGTCAAGAAAATTGCGGTTTTATTTCACTTAACCATTAGGGAGTTTAGAACATGGCTACGGAAAGTAATGTCGATATGCCGTCACATTTTTCTTTTTGTTTTCTGAATCTCCCAAGTTTTTTGTAGGGTATTTTCTCCACAACCAACACATGTTTAACTATAATAGTGTAGAGCAATGGCTCCAAACTGGCTCTAAAGACAAACCAACAGTTTAGTATACAGATATTAATAAACTAAGTATTGTTGTTGTGCCTTGAGGATTGGATCAGACATGAACTCTTGGTGAAGAAAGGCATCTGCAGGTAATTTCATAATTTCCATTTAGTTGCATGATGACAGGATTATATCCCTTGCCTAATGCTTTACTTTAAGACTAAACAGCAGAGAACCGATTGAATAGTCATACTGGATGTGCATGATTTATATACACCAAAACTGCTTCATTACGATAAAGTGCATAGAGTATCCCTTAAATAATTTGCTTAACTGGAGACTTCATGCCATTTAACACAGATCAGGGCATGAGTACAAAAAAAATCTCTTCTATCTCATCAAGCGACAGATGCTCTATCTGGGAAGAAAGGCATTTCGCTTTACCTTTGTCTTTTGAACCAACCAAGGTGCAAATAAAAAGCAGGAAGAAAATTACCACTACTCTTTCCAAAAATAACATGTACCACTAAAACAGCAAAATGCATTAGAAAAATAAACTTACATCATGGTTACACAGGACAGCAGCAAGATGCTTGCGCTCCTGTGCATAGTATGCAGCCTGTTGATAGTAGAAGCCAGGATTTTGTGTCTGAATGGCGGTCAGGCCCAGTTTAATAGCTTCATCAAACAGGTCACCAAATGCCTGGAACCTTTAGATGGAATATTACAAACTGAAATCAACCAATGTTATTTGTCTACTTTACATATCTAAATTAGTCATTAAAAATAAGAAATCTGCTGTAGGTTAAAGGAACACTAACGTTATACATAAACACTTTTATGCATGATGCTGGAGATCTGTAATGCCATTTTAGACTTAACCCGTTAACCCCTCCTCCCCCCCAAACCTTTAACATTTATCCGAGTCAGCGCTCCATCTCATCCAACATAATTTCCCAGGTTGAAAGGGGGGCAGCTAATGCGCATGTGCGCCATGAGCGCTTTAGGACCTCCCCATAGTAAAGCATTGCTTCAATGCTTTCCTATATAGGTGTTACTGATGCTGGATGTACTCAAGCATAACGCGAGGATGTCCAGTGTCAGTTAGGTGACCAAAAGTCTCTTAACCACAGTTTCTCAAAAACTACAATGTTTTACATTGCAGGACTAAGATGGACGGGGACACTGCACCCATACCACTTCAATGAGCTAAAGTGGTCTGGGTGCTTATATGGTCCCTTTAAAGCAGCAGTCACAATGTACCTCAATGTACCTTTGGGTCCACAGCTCCTGCATCACTGGCATCCTCCTAAGCTCTCCCATTGCCACATGTGCAGCTGAGAATCAGAGACTTCCCAATGAGAAGTTCTAACATGCATAATTAAATGCATGTTTTTTTATTTTGGGGTTGTGATACTAAATAGTGATTATGAGTCCTTTAAATTTAAACATCAGGTTTTCATAGACTGCATGTTTGAGTGTTCATGTGAAGAACAAACTAAAAAAAAAACACAAGCATTTACTATATATGTGGTCTGACAACACATACTGTTTAGACATCCAAGCGGCATGCTCGAAAGACAGCTCTGCACTTCCAATCTTCTTCTTACACAGATCAATGTGTTTCCTGAATTGTGCAATGGCATCTAGAGGAGTGTTATGCTGGAAGCACAGACGGCAAATCTAAAGAACAAAAACACAAGGTTCACTTATACGCACTTTTTGTGTTGTGTGCTACACTTTGGGTATTATTCTATTGACCCAGACAGATGTGAATCTACACTTCTTTTTCAATACTTTAAAATAGAAACAAAATATTTTGCATTCAGCTATACATTTCATCGGTTCACTGGCAGCGAATTAAATGGCTACTAGAGTTGCTTCCTAGTCCAGTCCAGTCCAGTGCTGCACATGCATTCAGAGTCTTCACGCACTGCATGAAGGTGCTAAACCTTCCTCATAGAAATGCATTGATTCAATGCATCTCTATGAGGAGATGCTGATTGCCTCCCGGTGCTTTTCTACGGGAAAGCTGTGGATTAGCTGATGCCCAAGGGGGACAGCCATGTCAAGATTGGTGTGGGAAAAAATCTGAGTTTAAACACCTTTTTACTACACAGAGTAGGGATGGTCACCTAAATAGCTATTCTAAAACTATAGTGCCAGAAATACGTTTCGGTTCCTGCCACTAGTGTTTATTTTAGAAATAAGTGCCCCCACTGGCTGTCTCTCTGAAAGTCACATTTGTTTCTTAGAAACAGCAATGTTTTTACATTGCTACAGAAAAAGGTTTATGTTCCAAAACCACTATTAGCAGCACTTCTCTTACCTTATAGTTAATAAAGCCAGCCATGGTCTTTATCTCCAGCATGTTTGTTTCATGTGACCTCAGCTCATGAACCAAGTTATAAGCCGTCCTGTAATTCCTAGGGAAACCATTAGAAAAACAAATTAAACACTTTGATGTACACAGGGCCGGCGCGTCCATAAGGCGGCACAGGCGGCCGCCTTAGGGCGCACCGGCTCTGGGGGCGCAAAATTCCAGTGACCGGCAGGAGGGAAGTGCTCCCTCCTGCCAGGTCACCTCCTGGATCCCCGGCGCGGCGTGTGGCTGAACTGGATGCCGAGGGAGCTCTGATCTCTCTGATCTGCTCCCTCGCAGGCTGTTTACTGATGACGTCATATTCCGGCTCCCGCGGCATCAGTAAACAGCCTGCGAGGGAGCAGATCAGAGAGATCACAGCTCCCTCGCCACCTAGGAATCCAATTGCCTCCCAGCAGCCCCACTGGACCACCAATGAGAGACCCACGCCAGCTCTCCAGGTAGGGAGGCTGGGTGGGAAATTTTAATTTAATTTAGATGATTAATTACTGTTAGTGTGTGTGTGCATGTGAGTGAGTGTGTCTGTCAGTCAGTGTGTGTATGTGTGTCTGTCAGTGTGTGAGTGTGTCTGTCAGTGTGTGAGTGAGTATGTGTGTCTGTCAGTGTGTGTGAGTGTGTGTGTGAGTGTCTGTCTGTCAGTCAGTGTGTGTGTGTGTATGTGTGTCTGTCAGTATGTGAGTGAGTGTGTCTGTCAGTGTGTGTGTATGTGTGTCTGTCAGTGTGTGTGTGTATGTATGTGTGTGTGTGTGTGTGTATGTGTGTCTGTCAGTGTGTGTGTATGTATGTGTGTGTGGTTCTGTCAGTGTGTGTGTGTGAGTGTGTCTGTCAGTATGTGCATGTGTGCATGTGAGTACATGTGTCTGTGAGTTTGTGTGTGTGTGTTTGTCAATGAGTCTGTCAGTGTTTGTGTGTCTGTCAATGAATGAGTGTCAGATAAGTGAGTCTGGCTGTCAGAGATGTCTGTGTGTTTGTCATTGAGTGTGTGTGACTGTCAGTGTTTCTACACCCCTGACTGTAGCGTGGCCAAGCGGAGTGTACCGTGGTACAGGAACGTCTGTTTCCTGTACCTAGCAGGACTGACAGGAAAAGCTCACTGTACCGGGATTCGCTCCGCTCAGCCACGCTACAAGAAAGGTAGGAGGCACACCAGGAAGGGGAGGGGACCACTATGGGGATGGGTGGCGCACCAAGGGACATGGAGAAGAGGGGAGAGATACCCTAAGGTACAGGAAAAGGAGGGAGGGGGGAGAGGAACACTAAGCGACAGGGAACAGAGGGGGGAGGGGAGAGGAACACTAAGGGACAGGGAAAGGAGGGGGGAAGGGAAAGGAACACTGAGGAACAGGGAAAGGAGGAGAGAAGGGAGAGGAACAGTAAGGGTCAGAGAAGGGAGGGGACCATTAAGGGACAGGGAGAGGGGCTGGATGTAAAAGAAACACACAGCGGGGCTTGAGAAGGAAAGAGACACACAAAGGAGCTGGGAAGAATAAAAGACACAAAGAGGAGAGATAGGAGACACACAAAGGCAAAAATAGGAGATAAAATACACTAAAGGGAGTCCGATATTTAAAAGACGGGATAAGAAACACAAAAGGGAGGTTAAGAGGCACATGGGCGAATATGTTTTTGGGGGGGGGAGGAAAAATGGATCTTCGCCTATGTACCCAAAATTCTTTGCACCGGCCCTGGATGTACACGTGGGTCAGCCTTTTAGCAGAAGTGGTAAGGGCCAATTACAAAATGGCTCTGAACAGAATTTGACATTGATATAAAGCAATAAAAATATAAAATGAAGGACACACATCAATTGTTTTAATTTGCTTGCAAGCTCTGGATTTTAATAATGCACTATTAGGAAATCAACTTTACTTGCCCAGATCATTAACCTTTAATATTGCCAAATCTTCCTTTCACTCAACGTTCTAGAATGTTATTTTTGGATGATCACAAAATGGATCTGGAATTGGTGCCATGCAATGATAACTTGGTGCAAAACCTTTAATGAGCTCTCAATGGACTGTTAACTTAGCATTGCATTCAGTAGATGTTTTGACAGACATTGGAGCTTGGAGCATGATCTGTGACATATTGCATGCCTGCAAACCCAGACCACCACAAGTCACTTCCCTACACATAAAAAGGCTTTGAGCTTTAAAAAAAGGCAATATATATTTTGAATATTATTGAATACATATAACACATTTATTCTGCTGTATGTCACGGGCAGATGACGCCAGCTTAACTCCTTGCAAACCTTTTTAAAAATACTGAATACGAATACTATTTTTTTTCCCCAACCAAACCATGTTGCATCATAATAAATTCTGCAAACTGAGTATTAAAAGGCATTTTAAATGATTTTTCCCATGCACCATTATAAGATGGTTCACATTCTCTCCTTATTGTATCTATACATTAAACAAGCCAAACTAATTAGCAAATGTATAGAGGCACAGAATTGTCAACACTTAAAACACATCCTACCACATCAGGGTTTGGCTGCAGCTTTTGCAGCACTGAAGTGATGTGTGCATGCGACAGACCAGTCTTAATTTGCTTTCTGTCCCAGAATGTCTTGTAAATCGGGCTGACTGCAGCCATCACAAAGACTAACACCAGAGTCATCTATAAAGCAAAGGTCTATAAACAAAACCAGAATTGTTTACAATAATAAATATTTCAATTACTGCTCATCTATACATTTACTAATGGTTACATTTTATAACGCAGAACATAAACATTTTACAAAAGCTTTGGTATGTATGGTAAAATCTTACTTCAGAGCGTTCTGGGTATCTTGCTTGAGCTCACTGAAAAATGCAATCTTGAACTGATGCCTTACAAACAGTAACTGTAAAACAAAGGCAATTCAGCAGTATGAGAAGACTGGAACATTTATAAATACAAACAATTGTCACAGTTGCTACACATGCTCAGTGCGACATATCATCTTAGTACCACCTACTGCTTTCAAATTGTGCAATAAAATATTAACTATACTAGCTCTCACTTCAGTGAATCTCTGCTTACAAACACTAGAATCCTTGTTGTACCTTTCTCTGCCCCTATTCATTAGACAGATCTATTCAAAGTAAGCTGAAATACTCTAATGTGGTTGGTTTAGGCACCGTGCAATTATGTACCATCATTGAGATTACAGTAATTTTGCATTTCTCTATGAAAACACTTAAAGGGAAACTCTAGGCACCATAACCACTATAGATTACGAGATTGTCCCTACAGGTTGAGCAGTGTAAAGAATGAAAAAAAGAATGTTTACATTGCTGCCTAATACTACCTTTAGTAGTGGTCACTCAGACAGCCACTAGAAGGACTTTCTGAATGAGGTCCTGTAAAGATTGCAGGTCCAAGGTTTAATGTCTCCACACTCAGCATAGAGATGCTGAACGCTTCCCATAGAGATGTATTGAGTCAATACATTTCTATGAGAAGATGTGGATTGGAGCATCGCACCAATTGCTGTACATGCGCACTAGCCCCCCATTGCTTCCCTACATTGGATGGGCTAAGAATAATCAATAATGATGACCTCAGTCAAAGGGGACATGGAGGCTGCAACAAGAATAATGGTGAATAAGGTAAAAAAAATCTATTTATCTTACTTGGGGGAGGTACACTAGTTAATATTACCTGATGGGTGGTTTTATTCAGGAACTCTTTGTGAGATTTTACTCTTCGAATTTCAGTGTAGTAATAGGTCTGTGCGTGTTCATAAAATGCATTCTCTAATCTAAAAGAACAAAATCATTAAAGAGAATAATATAGGACCTACATAACAGATCTACTCACTGTTCCCATATCTAATCTATCGAGCGAGGCAGACAACACGTGGGCCAACTTAAATACCCTTGTATTTTCCTTGACTGCACAAAAAATAAACAATAATTAATAATCATTTTCTATACCCTTACTGCATTTAGAAGGAAGCTTGACATCAGCAGTTCTACACCATCATCTGATGTCCTGCCACCTACAGTGGGATATGTGGCTATGTCTACAAACTGAGGTTGCAACATCTTTTTTGTAAAACATGCATTTCTTGATCGTCTTAATTCTTACATCATCATACTTTGGGATGAGTTCACGTTATCTTCTGTACAGAGGCCAATAAGCTGTTACCTTAAAGGCACACAAAGGCATTTGGAATATAAACATGTTTCCCTAACGCTATAGTGTCCCTGTTCCTAATAACAAGGTCCTCCCCCCAGATTGGCTTGTAAGTGAACGAAAGTCTTATTTTCACTCACCTTTTCCCAGTGTCTACCCAGGCGCTACTTACATCGTCTCCTTGGTTGCTGCAGCAGCAAGCACCTCAAAAAGGCTGTCAATATGACTGCCTAAAATACTGCAATGTTCTACATTGCAAGGTCAAAACTACCGGACCATTACAACCAGGCCATTTCATTGACATGAAGTGGCTTGTGTGACTTAAATGTTTTTTTTAATCAAGTAATTTCAAGTGCATATGGCAGGGCTGTCCCTTTAAATTATTAGCCTGACTTAATATTTGCCATGATCTCCAGCTGAATTCACATTGCAATAACCATTTTTTATATTACTGTTTAAATATGTTGTAAAAATCAATCTACATCTCATATTGAAAATAAGATGTTTTTCTGACAAGCAGTAACATTACATTTCAAGAAGATTTTCTTAGCAGAGATAATGAGCTCTACACCTATAGTTTTAATAATTTGATGATTTTTCTGACAATGTAACTACATAGAATATTTGACAGTCAGATTTCATAAGTTGAGCATGAAAGTACATTTGTTAATTAATGTACCTAATTATGTAACCCACAAGATGGTCTGTGTGCGGAAGCACAAAAAGAGATTTGCCAGACAGGTCACAGGCATTGCACAAGGCAGCGGCCCTTTCAGAAGCAATCATATCTTCACCTGGTAACAGGACGGGACACAAAAACAAAAACAGAATTACAAATATATGTTGTGAATGATAATATTACGGTTACTTCACATGAAAACTAGAAAAAGGATAGCAACAAAACTGCAAATACAAAATAGTTTACTTGGTTATCTGATTTGAAGTTTCACACAGTATTGTTTAGAGGACACTGGAATACACAGATCTAAAGACATGCATTCAGCAGATTGCTGGTGCAACCAAGTTGCTGCAATTGAACTTTAAAGGAGATATCTCATTCCATGATTTTTGTACCTGAATTGTGATATAAATTGTTCAATCTTAAATATACAAGGCTTAAGTCCACACATCCACAGGTCCACACTTGGGATTGGATTATACCGGTAAAGATATGGATTACATGAGATTTTAGATTGCTCTCAAAATATATACATCGGCTGAAGAACGGACCAAACTGGCACACTAATGGATCCATGGCTATCATACCGAATCGCTATTGGAAGTGACACTTAAGGGTAGCCGATTCAACATATCGGCAGACTTAGACACTCCCCCTGTTACCCTACCATTGGACTATATGGATTTGTGGGCGTGCTTGTAGTATGATACCACATCATCTATAGCCACGCCTCTCAGATGACGTGTAACCTTACTATTGGTTTATACTATTTGATTCCACATGGGATATACCGATATAAGAGTGATCTTTGTCAGTTGATCTTTTACCCCTGACGAAGGTGCATATAGTTCTGCACCAAAACACGCGTCGGCTGCTGGGCTTGGATGTTTGTTTTTGGGCACTTTACCTTTTGTTTATTTCACTAGTTTGACATCATGTTGATGTAACTATCTCACTTTATCTTTACTATTCTCCTATGCTTGTCTAGTTAGATTTGAAGGGAGAGAGGCTGCTTCTAATATGCTTTTACTCTTAGGTAATAGTAATTTAATTATTTATTTTCCTTTATAGCTGGATTACAAGCCCTGAACATTATTACCCTCTCTAACGGCAGGGGACACTACCAAGACCTTGATATTTATTACACTATGTGGATAGGTCATTTATAATAAAGCCTTATTTTATATCTATACATTTTTATCATAAGTGCTTCTTGGTTCTGCCCTCTGTCTCTTATTTTGCTAGTTGTTAGCTTTACTTGGGCATAAGAGTAGCCTTATAAGGCTGGTTCAAATAAACGATCACGAGGATATCGGTCTTTGTTATTTGTTTGCTACATTCTCAGGGTTTAGATTTATTTGCAACATCTATTTGGTACTGTTATTTCCAGGCAGTACATGACTTTCACTTCGGTGAATAGTGTGCTTTTTTGTTCTTAATTAAGTCCACACGTAATTCACCTGCTAATCAGCCACTAAACTCTGCAGGATTCATACAACCAAGGGAAAATGTCTGGCTCATTTGACTCGTGAATGAAGAAGGTAATTCATGCTAATTGTACATTAACTTAATGTGTGACGCATGAGCGATTCAGTATTTACATATTTTATCAAAACAATTCTCTCACTTTAGCATAAGCAGAGGAGAAATAATTATAGTACCTGGAGGTAAAGGGGTCTTCTTCTGTATTAAAACCACAGCTACCTTTGTGTTCCTTCCTTGCAAGCTCTGTCTGTAAAAGGAACATAATAAATGTGACAACAAATAAAAAACATCATAGACCATAAATGGCCAAACCTCAAAACCTATCCTAAATAAAAACGCTAGCAGGCTTATAAACTAAAGTGAGACTTTAAAGGGAATTTCAAATTTAAGGTCAAAATAGTTGAAGTGGGAAAATTCTCTATGTCATCTATACTTTCAGTTTGGCTACCGTGGCCTTAAAAATGGACACTATAGGCACCCACACCACTTCATCTTATTGAAGTAGTATAGGTGCAGTGTCCATGCCCCTACCCCTTCCCTCCCCTTCAGAGAAACTGCAATGTTTACATGGCAGGGTTAAGACAACCTTGAGTGGCTGTCACTACAGGCACTTCCTGCACTCTAATGGAGTTTGATCTCAAGGAACGACATTGGACATCCTCAGGGCTTTGCATGTGGACATTGACAGTCTTCAAAATCCCAATAGGAAAGCAGTGATTCAAGGATTTCCTATGGTAAAAAAAAAAAATGTCTAATGCGCAGTACTTGACGTTGCTAGAGAAAAAGATGGATCCAGCGTCGAGGATCCTCAGTATTGGAAAGAGGAAAGTTAAAAAAGGTGTTTTTTTTTTTTTTAAACCCTTAAATTACCAGGTGCAGGTGCCATGGAGGCAGAGGCACACTATAGCGTTAGAAATAAAGTTTTGTATTCCTAATGCCATAGTGTTTTTTTTTTTTTTCTTGTAATTCACATAGGTATTGTAAGTATATTTCTGACCTAACATTTCCACCATACATCTGGCTTATTTTTCTTAGCAAATTGGTGTATTGTTGCTTTAAAAATCAAAAGAAATTAAAAGGGTTCCATGTGTAAATACACCAACAGAATCAGGGTTATTAATTAAAATATGAATTGTAAAGGAATTCAGAGTGTATTTCAAAAAACAGGGCGAAATACTGCAAAATTCTGCTATATTTTCAACATAGCTATTTTAGCTTAAAATTACATTCTAAACAAAAAAACAAAAACAAACTACATTTAACAACAAAAATAAACACTTAAAATGTTTAAAAGCTCTTCACCTAACAATTTCCACCCTGGTGGCACACTCTGACTGCTTCTCTTTCCATTGGGCTTCATCCCAGTCCAACTCATAAAACACCACTACAAGGGCGGGCACCAGATTAAGGTGTTTGTTCATCCAGCTGGTTTTCAGAATTCCTTTTGGGATGTACCACTCATAGGATGTTCTCTGTTAAGAAAGTCACGGAAAAAAAGACTGCATGGATTCAAACACATAAGAGTTTATTCACTTATCAACAAACAGTAGTGAATCGAAAACAAACACATATAGGGTTAATCACTAATGTGTGAATTATTATTTTATTATTTATATAGCATCAGTAAATTCCGTAGTGCTGTACAATGGATGTGGAATTGTAGGCAAAGTGGTTTTTATTCACTAAACTTTGAACTGCACTTAAACAAACCATGGTGGAACATTAATAATGGAATTACAAATTCTAGTTCAAAATAGATGATCTGGAAAGAATCTCAATCTCTCCTAGTTATCCATGTCAGACAATTTGGCATAGCATTTCCAAATTCCCTCTTCAGGTTTTACAAGATACAGATTAGTCTATAAATCATAGATTATATCAAGGTTGAGCACCATGACTATGAATGCCTGTGAGTGAGCATTAATGTATACGATTGTAATAACAAAAAAACAAAAACAAAAAAATACCTTTGTTCTGCATTTCGGATACTCATGGTCACCAGGAAGAACCTTAAATGAGATGGGTACTCTGTCTGCCCGTCTGTTGGCACAAAATGCATCCCAAATTGCACGATGAATAGCGTTAAAGGTGACATCTAAACCAGTCAGGGTCACAAAGGCCATGGGACGACAACATAGCTCTACCGGGAAATCCCATTGTGTGGGACTCATCTTCAACAAGAGCCACAATCCTACAAGAAGAAATAAGTCCATCAAATAGAATCACTACTGAGACTTTTCAAAACTTTGCTAACAACATTACCAAGGGACTTGGCAATCCTTTATTGTAAGCACACTCTGTATAGTTGCCCATGGCTAGTGAAACTTTAGCCCTGGCAAAGTAGAAATTCACTTGCGCAAGATATGCTATGGCGAATAACTTTTAAGGCTTGGACTCTAGCATAGGACTACAACCTTTTAAAACCCTGTACTGTATACATATTCACATAACAAATATAGAAAAATATCAAAGCAAACAAAGTGAGAAATATGGGAGTATATATACATATATAGGTGTGTGTGTTTATTAACTGCACTGCAAATGTGGTGAATTAAAAACCAAATTTCAGAATTCAGGCTATAACTGCCAACTATAATTGTTGTTCCATGTCAGTTATTTTGACATGTGGCTTTTAATACTGTTTAGAGAGTACCTCTGCATAAAGAGAGGAGGACAAATAATGGAGCAGGAAGAAAAAGAATGATCTTTGTTTGGTTTTATCAAAGTAAAATAAGATATAAAATAAAGATCATAGAAATTCTCTAGCTGTGCACCACTTTCACAAAAGGAAAATATTGTAGAATTCCCAGATTGGCAGTGTGCATAATACAGATTTATCTGGAATCCTGGAGACTGGAATTTCTTGTCCATAAAATAAACCAAAAAATAGCTTAGCCACATATGTCTACGTGTATAATATCACAAGACAGTAAAACTGTTACATGGTCTGCACAATATTTTATCCCAATGAATAGTAGCTGATTGTTTTAATTTAAAAAACAGGGTGCAAAGATGTTCTGTTTTAAGAGTAACGGGTATGAGAAATACACATTACATTTTTGTGTTCCCTATACATTATCCAGCATTCTAAATTCTTTACCAGAACTACTAACCTATTCATTATTATTACATAGAATAAAATTGGAATTCACCTGCAAAAAGATGGTAATTGTTTAATGCATTGTATCATATGTAGACAGTGAACCATTTACTGCAACCCCGCACCAAGATGTGACAATACCCTACGGGGCCTGAATTAAATACCCTACAGACTGCATGGTTTTAATTTTATTGTATATAAACTCTCCAGAAAAGGAAATCCTGTCAACTTAATCCATGCAGCCAGCCTTTATTTTCAGGAAGCAGGAAAGCAGCCTTCATTTCAGGTGGGTAATACACATTAATAACATATATATTACCTGTATACAAGGTGTCCCAATAATATAGAGAGCCCAGTCAGCCAGGAAAAGCCTTGTCCTCAGTGCCAGTACATGGTGCCAGTCTTGCCCTCATACAGCAACTTACAAGGACTCTGAGGCTGCTGTCACTCACCCCGGAACACAGCCCCAGCACAAAACCTCCACTCAGTGTGGAATGTCAGCTGACTGCCTTACACAGTCGGGGAAAACACAAGCCGCCATGTTTGAAGTGGGCAAGCGATCTGAGGATCACTAATGTAATAGAAATAAACAACAACAAAAAAATACTATTACAATTTATTTATTATCAGTTCATGCCTCCCTTCACTAATGACGTCCTTATTTTCTATTCCCAACAAGGGCCTTTATAATAAGAACAAGTGATTTGTAGCAGTCAGGCTGAGGCTCTCTATGACATTTTTTGATGCTGCTCATTGGCCAGGCTCTGTCATTCAGGTACCATAAGCACTGCTGTAAGAGAAGTTTTATTAAAATATCTGTTGTAAAGAACTGGGGAAACAAATACAGCACATAAAATAAATTTATTTTGCCCCTTTATTTGCATCACATAAATAATACATATACATTTACATATACATATAAAACAGACACGGGCGAAAACCAGTTTGCCCTTAATAAATATGGCGGCGTACTTCTAACGTGTGCGTGCATTGCCGCTGTCACGTGATGACGTGGCGTACCGTGTGGCTAGAGTGGCTGCAGTGGCTGCTGGTAGAGTTTAGTGTCTGGCACGGTGACCCATCTCGCCCATACATGAGCTAGAGCAGTGAGCGGCCATTACATTCCCAGAATGGCTAACGAGGACCAGGAGGTAAGTGTCCAGCTAGTAATGTATTCAGACAGGGAGGACACCTACCCTCACTCTGTATCTGGGCTTATTAACCCCTTGGTAGCCATGCGAATTGTGCTCCCCATGCTGTCTCAGTGGGTCCTTAGTGTTGGATCAGGTACAGTGTACCCACCATCCTTTACTGCCCAGAATGAACTAGTTACTGCTGTGGGTTTATCCTCCCCAGTGCAGTGTAGACCTAACCTAACACTGAGTCTAATGAGGCTGTATTGCAAAGTGATTTTAAAGGAACATTCTGGGTACCATAACTATTTTGGCTCAATTAAGTTTCTTCTGGTGTGTTGCCCTTCCTGCTTTAAGAGGTTAAACGATTTTACGAAAGATTTAACCCCCAAAGTCTTCCAGATACCACCTGTCTAACCGGCTCATCTACCTCTTCTGGAGCAAATTTCAGTATGGAAGCCTTTCATTGGGTGCTGGTAATAGGCTCCGGGCCGGTGCAAAGATTTTTGTATACACCGGCGAAGGTGCATTTTGCTGCCCCTCCCCCCAAATTTATTTACACCTGTTTGTCTATTCTTTTGTATATCTTACCCAATCTTTCGAGTCTTTATCCCATCCCCTCTTAACGCCCTTGTGTCTTTTATCCCACTTATGAATGTATTTACCTCCCTTTAATGTATCTGATCTTTGCCCCCTTCTGTCTCTTACCCACCTTCATGTATTCTCTCTCCTCTGACTTTCTTATCTCTCTCTCACTCTGACACATACTAATGCTCACAAACCTATACTCTCTCTCACAGGCACATGCATATACAAGCACACTGAGTCATAGACACACACGCTGTCTCACACATACATGCTGACACAAACCCTCTCTCACTGGCTCATAAACACACTCAATGGCTCTGACACGCTCACTTTCTCAATGTCCTTGTCCCGCCTTATGGTAGCGCCACTCCTGAATAGACCCATGGTCAGCTGATATACTAAGCTTATCACTGGTATCCCATTAAAGGACCATTATAGGCACCGAGACCACTTCAGCTCATTGAAGTGGTCTGGGTGACAGGTCCATCTAGGGTTAAGCCTGCAGCTGTAAACATAGCAATTTCAGAGAAACTGCTATGTTTACAATATGGTTAATCCAGCCTTTAGTGGCTGTCTCGTTGACAGCTGCTAGAGGCGCTTCTCACTGTGAAAATCACAGCGAGAAGACCCTAACGTCCATAGGAAAGCATTGAGCAATTCAGCATACAGCATTCAGCTCCGACGTCAAAAGAGGGAGGAGATTTCACCAGCTCCCGAGGGAGCCCGGCGATGGAGAATCGAAGTGATTAACCCCTTCAGCACCCTAGAGCCTGACGGGTGGGGGAGACCTAAAGACCCTATAGTGCCAGGAAAACAAGTTTTTCCTGGCACTATAGTGGTCCTTTAAGAAAAATACCTTAGAAAACATACATACATAGCATATATGCTAATCTAAAAAAATAAATAGATTTTGTTTTAGGTTCACATAGGATAATTTTTTATTCCAATATAGGATCCCGTCAGCTGATGCTCTCAACCAATCAGTGACTCCCCATTCACAAAAGTGTAGGGAAAAAGGGACATGCTTATGCTACAGAAATTTTCACAGGAGCTGCTAAACAAGCAGTTGTGTGCAAGGACATTGTTACAATTTCTACTTGCGTCATAACGGGTGCAATGAAAATAAGTTAAGGTGCTCAGAGTGTCCTTTAACTACATGGAACTGCTTTAAATTGTGTGAGTTCATGTTACGTATTATGTTGGTGTCTTAGTAATGAAGCTTCTCAACAGTAGCTGAGTTTGTACAGTACAACTGGAATTTCATCATTCAAAAAAAGTTTTATGTACAATTAAAAGTCTATTCGGTTTTATCTTCCAGATGGAGCTAGAAGCTCTCCAGTCCATTTATGAAGGAGATGACTGTTTTAAGGAATTAGGGCCTTGTTCTTTCCAATACAGGGTAAGTAATAACTTGTTTAAAGCTGTAACACGCTCTGCCATGCTGAATATTGCTGACGCAAATGCAGAGCTCCAAACAGAAGATTGCATAAGATAACTTATTAAATTAATGTATTAGTAGTCCTGGTGGTAGAAGTCTGTATGTGCAGAGTGTCTGCTTGAAACGCTGCACATACAGAGATATATTGGCTAGTTACACCCCCAGCGCACAAGACAAAGGCAGCCCGGAACTCCATTCCAGTCTGCCTGCATTTATTACACCTGCCTCTTTCAGTTAAGGCCAATGCCCCTCTCTCTCTTTCCCCTTAATGTCTCAGAGCATGTAAATGTGCTCTGAGCTGGTGAAGTGGTCATATCATAGAGAAACATTTAATCGGACCTCTCAATGGCTCCAGTGATGTCATCTGGGGAGTGGAGCTTTGACTGGTGCTGGATTCTATGTAAGTTATCGCTTATTTCTAGAACTTTATTTTAGGGTTGAGTGGGACCAAAATGTGTCCTAAAGGGCCTTTAAAAAAAAAAAAAATGGGTTGAGGTTACTCTGTTTAAGAAAAGTCATATACACCCTCCAGTGTACCAGTGTGCTATGGTCCATAGTACTCTGTTCCCACCTACATCCAACAACCCTGAAATGCAATTGATAGGGCAGAGATATATTGTCTGTTCTACTCTTTCTCAGTATTGGTCCAAAGGATTCCACGCTTCAATAGCAGTGGCATGTTGCATCTGCTAGGGGAAAGTTAGACCAGGACAAGCAGCTTTCATCATTATCCAAAGTTGGAAGTGTTACTTGTACATTATCTTATTGCCTATCATTGCCTGCAGAGAGGCTTTTTGTCAGACTGATCAGTTATACAGAAAGTCAGTGTACAACCATAGGCGTGCGCACGGGGTGTGCCGGGTGTGCCTGGGCACACCCTAATCCCCGCGGGACGCCTATGTATATTGAGACCGGCATGGGAGATCTCAGGATCCCCCTTGTCGGCTCATGCAGAGCCGGCGCTATCCGAGCGCCAGCTCTGCTCTCAGCCTCTCTCCCCACTGACCCACATGCAGGGAGGGAGGCAGGAGAGGACCGGCGGAGCTATTGCCGGCAGCTCCGCCGGGTTCCTCTCGCGAGAGTGAACTCTAGCCCCAGAGGGGCACCCACAGACATACACAGCACCCTCACACACACACAGCACACTACCAGTACCCTCACACACAAACGGCACCCTCACACACAGTACATTAACAGCACCCTCACAAGCACGCACACACACACACACACAAACAGCATCCTCACAAGCACGCACACACAAACACCCTCACCCACATCGCACACTACCAGCACCGTCACACACTTCACACTAACAGCACCCTCACACAGCACACACACACACACACACACATACACATATACGGCTTGTGCTTTAGGGTGCACACCCTAATGCAATAGTCTGCGCATGCCTATGTGTACAACACCCAAAGACAGCTCAGTATCAGGTTTATGGAACAAATTGTTTATTAAAGAGCATAAATGTGTCATTGTCAAGTGGGGTTTACATCCATTAATTAATTTTCTAACCTAGTTGTTAAGGGATGTAAACCATTTGCATTAATTTGCTTAGCAAAATTGAAATTAGTCCATAAAGTCTCATTTACACCCATACTCTAGGAATGATTAACAGCTTAAATCTATAAAGTATATTAGAGAGCGAAAATATTTTATCTACCAGAGAGCCATTTTGTCCATGTAATGTCGAGAAAATAAAATGTGTTTTTTTTTTTTAAACTGTAAAGAAAGCTTCGGCATCAGTGCCTGTGGAAAAAATTAATACTGTCTAAAGCTTTTTGTTCCCTCAATATTTCTGTATAGGATGAAGAAATTAAAATGTTAATTTTCATAATTTAAATTTACGTTTAAAAGGAAGTGTGTGTGTGTGTGTGTGTGTGTGTGTGTGTGTGTGTATGTGTATATATATATATATATATATATATATATATATATATATATATATATATATATATTTTTTTTTTTAAACCTTTGTTCTAGCTATGTTTCAAATAAAAAAAAAAAATTGCTAATACTTTTTACAACTAGAATGGCTTGATATTGAAGGCATTAATTTAAAATTAGTACCACACATTATTCTCAGGTTACTTCTGTGGTTTCAAGATCTGTCGGCTAGTGGTGTTTTCAGTGGGTATTTTAATATATATTTTTGTTCTGACTTTTCTATAGGTTGGTGATATTGGTGATTCTAAAGCCTTCCTTATTGAAATATCCTGGCCAGAAACCTACCCAGAAACTGCACCAAACATATCAATGAATGCCTTTTTCAACAATCAAATGTAAGTACTATATCTTTGCTTTACAATAGTCACATTCTATAGAATGCATGCTGGGAAATCTGAAATATTTCTCTATTTTTTATATATATATATATATATAATATAATATAATATAAAATAAAAAATAGAGATGGTTTGGCACTCTTCCTTAAAAATAAAAAGACCTGAATAGGTCGAAACGTTGATCTATTGAACTTTGAATTTATGCACACAGTAAACTGAGCACTATACAAACCCAGGAGTGCGCCTAATTATTCGTTATATATTAGAATATTTAAGTTTGCGGTGTTAAAAAAAAAAAATTTAAAAAAATTGAGAATGATTTCTCAAAGCAGAGTTAGACAGACAATCAGTTTGCAACAAAGGAAATGGAAAGATCTGCCGCAATCTCTGTAGAGTTAGTCCATATTTTCAGTGTATATTTTCACAGGAACACAACCCAGTGCTTTTGGCACGACCGTTCCAATTTTGTTTCCGGTTGTCCTGCATTGGATGTGCTCCCACTGTGCACTAGGACCCTGCAGAGAGTATTTCAGCACTGCTGTCTCTGCAACGTCTTTCAGCCTGTTGGCCTTGCACTTACCAGACACGCTCCTTTTGTCCTACAGTTGGCAGGCCTGCTCTCTGGGCCCACTCACCTGTCCCGATTGCAACCCTCCAAATGTTGGAAGATCTGAAAACGTGCTATATATAAAACTGTATTTCCAACCGACATGAGGTTTTGTTGAAGCTTATATATCAGTGTTCGTGTACAAATGTATACCATTTTTCAGTAATTTATTCATAAAGCGAGATATTGAGACGTCTTGAGAAAATGTCAGTTTTCACTCTGCGCACACTAACCAGATGTGACGGTACCTTTTCTTACTTGAGTTCATGAATTGGGTGATACTGAGGCTTCTGAAGCCCAGTCCAAGGCTTCATGATGATAGTCAAGGATCATCTGAGGAAGGTGCAAGGCAGAGTGAACAGACGCCGTCTTGAAAGTTCAAGGTTAAACCATTCGCAAGTGGTTTAATCCTATTAGGTAAGATGGCGCTCGGACCTCATTGCACTGTAACAACTTCATTGGGTTCTGTCTCTAAGGTGTATGTTGAAATACTGCAACTTTGTTCTTGATGTATCAATAAAATTAGTTATTTTATGAATAATATAGAATAAGGTAATACATTATACACTTTACTATTCAATTTTAATTTATTTTAATTTTTTTTTTTTTAGCTTTTGATATATTGTTTTCCTGTATCACACAGATCCCCAGCTGTCAAACAGAGTATATTAAAAAAGTTACAAGAACAAGTAGAAGCTAATCTTGGTACATCAATGACCTACACTTTATTCGAATATGCCAAAGATAACAAAGAAGTTTTAATGGAAAACCATCAACCATTCAACAATGCTATAGTAATTATCCTAATACTTTGCATTATGTTTGTGTGTTTATATTATCCACAATGTCCCTATTTTTAAAGGAAAGCTAGCATTATTAATTATTACTATGAAAAAAATTACATTTAATACATCACTATGTTTAGCATTCTATAGTGTGCAAATGCTTCAATGCAGTGCATCTCCTGGCTTACCATAGCTATGTTATAGCTCTCCTGGCTTACCAAGAGCTTCCTTCATTAAATCTGTTAGCTGTTAGTTGTATGCATTGTCTTTAGTTAGGTAAGTGTTATGTCTCACCAACGAAGATTTACGGGGACACTGTAAGTGTAAGCATCAAAACAACTCTATTTTAAAGTTAACTTGTAGTAAAACATTAAACTTGCCTTAAATGCTCCTGTGTACATTGAATACACTATATGTCACAAAGATACATGATGTGGTCGGTGTAAATTATAGAGATTTTATCACCTTTCCTCCAGCGCTGTTTCATGGATGTTACTCTTTATGTAACACTCTTCTTTGATTTGCCCTGCTTGGTGTAACGTCCCCAAGCATGGCAAACCTCAACAGTGGCATTGTCGACTTCGTAGTGAAGTGACATCACTCCATTCCTATACTCCCTAGCCAGTGCTAGAAGCGTCGGCTATTGAGTTTCCATAGCAACCACAGCGCATGGATGGAGAGCAGAGGGATCTCCTATGGGAGATCTCTTTGCTCTCCCTTGTCAGCCAATGCCTCTGCATTTTCAGTACTCTGTTGTTTTCCATTTTAAAGTTAAGTCCCTTTGTTTATGCAACCCTAGCCACATGTCCCCCGACTGTGCCTGACACAGCCTCCCTACACACTTCATGAAAAAGCGTGTATAGTTATTGAGCTTTCCTTTTTGCACAGTATGTTTAATTTTAAATTTCATATCTGCTACTCTGTTAATTGCCTGCTAGAGCAGGAGATGAGTGTGTAAATGTACTATGTTGTAACATCTAAAAGGTATTTTCCTGGGAAGAACGTTATTTTCAAATAGAAAAGCTCACTGGTTTAACACCTGTAATTTGACATTTGGCATCCAATTACCAATGTTCCAACTTTACAAATTGAATTTTTTTCCCTGCTTAATGATGTGTGTTTGTTATGACCAGCTTTATTCATATCAGTAATAACTGTCTTCTTTAAAGGAACACTAGCATTCTGAATAAATACCTGTGTTCATAATGCTATAGTATCCTTGTCCCTCTATCTAAATAGGCCCCCCTTGCAATATCAATTAAAAAGTAAACGTTTTACTTGCCTATTTCCAGCAAAGATACTCTCTTGGCTCTCACGGTCTCCAACAATGTCACGGAACAGACATGGTCCCGTCAAATTCTCCTAATGCGTATGCACGGCAAGCACCGCACGTATATTTAAGCTTCATTGTTGGGACTTCCACCTTACGAGAGTTGTACTCTGTTAGTGCAGCGGTAGTACTTCTAGTGGCTGTCAGTATGACATCTGCTAGAGTTAGACTCAACTCTGCAATGTAAACCTGGCCACTGCACCCAGACCTTGCTTTGGATTGTGAGGTACATAGGATTCAAGTTAATTAACTAATTTGTCTGCATGATTTTATACTGAATGTGGTGCATTTAATGCAAAATTACAATATTGTTCAACTGTATTTTTTTTCAGACATTAATCGGAAATGAAAATACACCAGAGCCAGCAAATGTAAACATATCAAGCAAGAAAAAAGAGAAAAAGGAGCAGTTAACAAAAGCCCAAAAGAAAAAATTAGCAGACAAAACAGGTGTGTTCAATAAGATGCAAGTTGTAGTCACAAAAAAATCTGTTTAATATATCTATATGCAATTTCAAAAACCCCACTTCACCAAATCCAGAATTTAACGTCACTGTTCATATTCAAATTAGAAGCTCTATGCTGACTTCTCCAAGCTTGTGTGTTGCTATATGTAGATTGCTAGTGTTTCCCTAATAACTCCTGTCTATTTGTTTTATTTATAAGTCATGAAAATACTTTTGCAGATTCATAAAACCTGCAAAATATAAACAGTTGAATTTGGAGACCAAGAGAAATAGTGCACGCACAATTATCTACTGTATGTGTGTTTGTGTAAGAGAACTATTATTTGCTGTTTTTTACATTTATACTTCATTATATGCTTTAAACCTATAAGTACATCAAGATATTTAGTACCATTTATTTATTCTTTTAAAATACTTTTTATTCAATCTCTAGATCACAAAGGAGAACTTCCCCGTGGATGGAACTGGGTTGATGTTATTAAGGTAATGCTTATCTGTGAAGGTGTGTGCAGCACATATCTTTTAGGGTGTGCTCCCCAGAGAGAGAGAGTAGTGTGGATTTTTTTGAGTTTAATAAAAATATTTGAAAAGTGAATATTTATTTGATTAACCATCATAAGTTTAGGTTTTCTCCAGATAACTTAAGTTAAACTGAGCGAAAAATGCAGGTAGGGACCTTAAATAGTGAAGAAATGCAATTTAGATCTGCATTAGTGTGTGCCTAGGCACCCTATAGCAGCATGATTACAGGAGCACCACAACCACTCAGCCCACTGTAGTAGTTTTGGTGCCAAAAGTACCAAGACCCTGTCCCACAGAAGATTTCAAGCTGGGCACACCTGCACGACATCTGGGCTTCAGCAGGAGAAGCCAGATGTCTGTAGAGCAAAGCATGGTCGATGCAGGACTGTGGTCATTGGCTGTGATTATTAGTGGAGCGAGCACTCCAAGTAAATGAGCATGGATATGTTTTGCTCTACAGAGCAATCTGACTTCTGCTAGAGAAGACCAGATGTGTAGTATTGGCACCCAACAGGACCCAGGTATGCTGTCAGTGTTCTAAAACAGTTTGACATCTTACCATGGAATGGGGGCTAGGGCAGTACTAGCACCAAAAGCTTTACAGCAGGTTGTAGTGGTTAGGTTAGAGTGCTTGTTTAATACTGGTAATTTTAGTTGGAATTGTTGAAGGTTTTTCCTTGTGACTGAAATTTACTCTTGAATGCAGTATACATTAACAGAACTCCTTTCTGGTGCAAGCAAGGGTAGCTTCCTCCATTATCGGCCCTTTTTCTGCACTTGTCATGACCATAACACCTACTTCTACCTCTGTTTAGTGTTCCATTCTGTGACAGTTTCAGAGTTGCTGACCAAAAAAAACAACTTACAATTTACTACTATAAGGAAGTTTCAAAGTAACATTTTTGTTTTTTCCTTTTCATTGTATTTTAATGTTTTGTATTCTTTCTTTTATGCTATTTGCCATTGTGGACTTCTTGATCTCCAGCATGTAAGTATACAAATGTTTAAAAACAAGAAATGTTTTGAAAATGTATTATATGATTTAGGTTGTAGTAGGAACTTTATAATAAAAAAGAGGATTACAAAAAGGAGTGAGTGTGTGTGTGTGTGGTTTTTAATCCCTCCTCACTCCTTTTATTTATTTATTTATTTATTTATTTATTTATTTATTTTATTTTTTTCACTTTTAATTTGTTTTTTTTTCCCACTGGAAATAACTTTATTTGTATGTGATGTAAAGGTAGAAAGGAAATTTGGTAGAATTTATTTTTATTAATAATCTAAAGTGTATTTATGTAACAGACCTCAACCATTTTGTACTGGTATAATACAAATATTTTCTTATACCAAATACAGAAATATTTACATGTTTTTTTTTTGTCTGTATTTATTTTTGCCTTAAGATAATTAAAGGTTCAGTAATACATTTAACCCCTTAAAGACACATGCCATGTGTAAAATGTCAAGATTCCCTTTTTATTCCAGAAGTTTGGTCTTTAATGGGTTAATATAAATATATTTTGTGAAAGCATACTAGCACCGTGTGCTGGAATGTCTGATATTGTTGATAACTTTTCCTAACCTCTGTCTTTTTTATGTTTTGTTACAGCTGGCTAAAACTGGCACCTCCAACGATGATGAATAGAGGAACACGAACACTTTTAATATATCATAACTTTTGTCTTGTAGACTTTCTTCTTATTTTACAACAGTAATTTATTAAAGAGGTCAAATTGTTTTATAAAAAAATGCTCCTTTTTGTAGGTTTTCTGTTTAATAAACAAGTGGTGTAAAATGATATCTTCACATTTTGCTGATACTCCAGTTCCCAGGGAATTTTGACTGTAAATATCGGTGTATTAAAGGACATTATGATCAGATTTGCATATGTTCCTATATGTGCAACATTCATCTTTTCAAATATTAAACCATTATGTATACAAATATTTACACTGACATAATTTTAATAATTTTTTTTTTTTCATACCCTTTGATTTCTTGCACAAAGGCTGTCATCCAAAATGTTTGTCTTTAGTGGCATTATTAAACCATTTCGCAACATTAGGATGTATCATTACGTCCTAACTAAACTGGGTTTTAATGGCACGTCCTAATGTTTTGGTAACAATTGATGCTTGGCACTCCCCTGTCAGCTGGGGCCACATTTAGTTGCCCCAGGCTGACCAATAAGCTGTATGTAATGCTCAAAGTGAACACTGCATATAGCCCTTTAAATCCATGGAAATCATAGCAGCTAAGAAATCGCTGCCAGGTACTCAAAGGAACCCAGGGAATGGAATGAATGGGTACCTGGGCATCTGTCAGATGTGGCCATTTGTAGTGGTCCCAGAGTGACCTATGCTTCATAGAGCCATTTAAATCACCTTAGCTGAGTGATTATGTTCAGCTGCTGTAATTCTAATGCTACAAGATGGTGAAGGGATTCTCCCAGTGTCTGAACAATAGCAGTAGAAAGAGGGAAGTGCTCATGCCATTGTACAGAGCACTGGTGAGCCTTCACTTGGAGTATTGTACACAGTATCTCCAGAAGGATATTGATACTTTAGAGAGAGTTCAGAGAAGGGTTCATGGATTGCAGGATAAAACTTACCAGGAAAGGTTAAAGGATCTTAACATGTATAGCTTGGAGGAAAGACGAGACGGGGGGATATGATGGAAACATTGAAATACATAAAGGGAGTTAACACAGTAAAGGAGGAGACTCTATTTAAAATAAGAAAAACTACCACAACAAGAGGACATAGTCTTAAATTAGAGGGGCAAAGGTTTAAAAATATCAGGAAGTATTACTTTACTGAGAGGGTAGTGGATGCATGGAATAGCATTCCAGCTGAAGTGGTAGAGGGTAACACAGTAAAGGAGTTTAAGCATGCGTTTTTTAAGTTTCCCAGATGGCCCCATGCCGATTGTGATAGGTGCTAGCTGCCCAGCACCAATCACAGTGTAATTGGTGTGCTGGTGTTTCAGCATTATCCCTGTAATGTTTAAAACAACCAGTAGATGGCGGCAATATATTTCTCTACTGATTTACCTAGGAAAGACAGGTTATCACTGGTATCATGACGGTGAAGTATCAACAGTGTAGTAGTACATGCAGGTACCCAGTACGGTCCAAAAAAGTAGTTGAGACATGCAGGTCTCGGGAAGTATAGTTTCTTACTCGCAGGTACCCAACTAAGCAGTAAGAAATTAACCATAGGGCCTGGGGGGGACTGGTGTGTTGGGCTAGCTGGCCATTTGTTTCCATGGTGTGTCAGTTTTGCTGCCTCCCTAAGTAAGTAGGTAGTGGAGAGGCGAAAAGGACTGCCCGTGTGTGGCTGGCTGTAAGATGTTGGTTTGCAGTGATCACGTGTTTGTTTTTTTTGTTTGTTTTTTTTTTGGCGTAGGTGCTTGGGTCTGTGTCGGTAGGTATATGTACTGGGTGTGCTCTTTCTCCTATCGTGCACGCTTTTGGTCACTTCCAGAGGGCTTAAGAGTGCGCCGAGCTAGTGGATAGTATCCACTGGGTCCATGTTAGCATGTATGGTTGGGATCTTCCCTCTGCATGTAGACTTCATATATTGGAACAACAGTGTTTCAAAAAAGGGATGAGGCTTTTAGCCACGTTGAGGATTTGTGTGGTCAAGGATTTTATATATATATATATATATTGTTTTTTTTACACCGAGCACCATAATTTAATATGATCGTGTGTATTGTTCTCCAGTAGGGTCTGGTAAAGGTGCCTTCCCACCAGTCTTTTCCCGTTTGCATCTCCAGCATGTATAGTCTAAGGTTGAGTTGTATGTGTGTAGTAGTTGAGGGGTCTTGTTCCAGAAAGTCAGTAATTTGTATGCGGTCTCTTATACCCCACTGGAAATGGCACAATGTAAGATCAGTGTGCAGGTCTTTGACCACTATTTGGGTGTGATTGTTTGGTTCAATGTTGCTGCCCATTTCCCCATGAAGCTCAGGGGGCAGGAGATGGTGAGGTGAGCGTTTCAGCGTAAGAAGCATGCTGTAGAGAATTGGTAAACCTCTCACCATGGGGTCTTTATCTTTACATATCTCTTCGAAGTCTGTAAGGTCTCTCGTCAGGAAATGTTTTTGGAGGATATGTTTCCAGAATTCCGTGAACTGTCTGTGTCGAAGCTGTGCATTCAGCAGGCATTCAATGGGTCTAACATTCCCTTCACCAATCACTCTTCTTGGGGGGGGGGGGTTGATAGACCACTGAGTACAATGAGGGGGATGTTAAAAGCCCAATTTTGGCAGCGTTTGCATGCATGGTTTTCATCAGTGCTTGTGGGGCCACAAGTCGAGCACCATGCTGTGGGTCTAGCTACGGGAGGAGGCTCGTCGGTCTGCCTATCATAGTCACGTCTATATAGACTTCCACAATTTTGTTACTCCGTCTTTCGACCACTCCGTAATCCGGATGCGTCACCCTGTGGTGAAGCTTGAAGTCCAGTAGAGCCAGCCCTCCCCCTGTCTTTTGGCAGGGTGAGGGTGCCATGTCTTTTTCGCGCTTTGAGCTTGTCACACAAATTGGAGGACCAAGGATTGGAGAGAAGTAAAAAATGCCTACGGTATGAGGATGGGTAAAGTTTGGAAGAGGCAGAGGATTCGTGGAAGGATGTTCATTTTCATGACCCCCACCCTTCCGAACCAGGAGAGCTGTGGAACCATCCATTCCTCTAGATCCTATCTGAACTGAGATAGGAGCAGCAGAAAATGTGGTTGGTATAGGAGCTTCAAGTCCTTAGTGATCCAGATCTTGAGATATTTCAGGGAGGAGTCTGCCCACTTGAAAGCAAATTGCAGTTTTAGCGTTCTTGTTCTTGGGTTAGGTATAGAGACATTTAGGATTGTTGATTTAGAGTAGTTTATTTTAAAATTAGAGAGGAAGCCAAATGTGCGAAATACTGTCATGATTGTCGGCAGGGAAGTTTCAGGGTTCGTTATGAAGAACATCAGGTCGTTGGCGTAGGCCGCGACTGTATGGGTAGTGTTTGGGAGAGGGAGAGCCAGAGGGAGGACCTTGAAGCACTTTTGAACACTTTGCAGAATTTTTACTTTTTTTTTTTGTGTACAACAATTTTTTGCAAAGGACTCTCAAGCCTCCCATCTGTCTGCTTCCAAAGAAGGGTTGTGCCTCCTTAACAGGCATACAAGTGAACATACCTAGAGGCAGGTACCTTGGGCTCTTGAAAAGGTGAACAGTCATTTATGGTATATGCTAGTCACCTAAAAGTTAACTGTATTAACACTAGGCGTATTATCTCCTATTCTATCACTCTTTTGTCTCCTTGAGATAATGTACCACAGAATCTGGAAAGGGGATTGTGTCACCTAAGTACACTACTGCAAGAATGACGTGAGCCTGTCATATCTGGCTCAGAACCATGTGAGTTTAACCATCACTACTTCACATAGGGGTCTTATAAGTTTAGCGTTATCTGCACAATAGAGATCTGTTTCCTTTTTTAGGACACCCAAAAACATTTGTTGCTCCCCAACTAGGGGTAGGTGTTTTATTGTATATGCCTGTAGGAGGTTTGGGAACAGAGTACTTGCAAATTGCTTGTAATACCTGGCAGGTAGGCCGTCTGGGCCAGGGAATTTGCCTAATATGGTGGCTTTGAAGGCCAGGGCCAATTCTACAGAGGAGATGGGTTCTTATAGTTCCTGTGCCACTTCTGCCGTGAGTCGGTTTGGCAGGTGGCGCGCCAGGTAGGTTGACAATTGTGTTTTGGCTGTCTCAGCTGTGTTGTCCGGTGTGGGTTTCTGGATGGTGTATAGGTCTGCGTAGTATGTCCATAGTTTGTCCCTGTAGTTGGGGTGGTATCGCAGTGTGTATGAGTGGGCCCGTTTTGTTTTTTTTCTAATCATGCAGGCCAAGAACATTTTTTGGTGTTTGTGTAGAAGAACATTTTTCGATTGGAGGTACGCTTTCTGATAGGAAGCATTCAAGAGAGCCGAGAGGTCTCTACGTAGGGTGGTCAAACTAAGCCAGTCTGAGTGTAGCTGAGTTTGTTTTTGGGTATCCTCAAGGTTTTGGATCTCCCGTAATAGTTCCGAAAATTGCGCTGCCCTATTTTTCTTCATAGCTGACCCTTTAGCCCCTAACCATTTGTGTGCTTTCCCAAGGATCAGAGGGATTTTGTCATATGGCACTTTCTCCTGGAAGTGCCAAGAGAGGTGGTCTTGTATGTATCCCTGCCATCATCAGTGGGTATGAGAGGAGGGACTCAATGAGTTGACAATTTCTGCATGTATGTCTGTGGATTGGTGAGTGCAGGGTCATCAGGATTGGAGCATGATCTGACCATGTGGCCGTGCCTATGTCTACCGTGCATAGGTCAGGAAGGAAAAAATAGTCCACTCTGGAGTAAGTCCTGTTGGGGATGGAGTAAAATGTGTAGTCTTTGTCATCAGGATGCATGGCTCTCCCGCAGTCGACCAACTGGTGTTCGTGTAGGGTAGTGGAGATGGACCTAAGTATGATGGTAGGGGGGTCAAGTGCTACATTGAAATCTCCACCCAACAATTATTATTATTACCGATATTTATATAGCGCCAGCATATTCCGTAGCGTTTTACAATATTATCAAAGATGGAGATTTAACAATAAATGAGACAAATACAAAAACTTACAGGAACAATAGGTTGAAGATGGCCCTGCTCAAATGAGCTTACAGTCTATAGGAGGTGGGCCTTAAAACCCAACAAGATAGGAGGTAGCAATCAAACAAAGTGGAGTGAAGCAGGGGGATAGAATAGAGTGCTGCCCTTTAGGAGAGAGCAAGGGACAGGTATGCGAGCTAGAGGTTACTCTGGGAGGCCATAAGCTTTCTGAGATGGGTTTTCAGGCACTTTTTAAATGATTAAAGACTAGGGGAGAGCTCGATGGTCGTAGGCAGGCTATTCCAAAGGAAAGTAGACA